GTAGCAGGCTCAGCTTGACACCCCTGGATTTCTTGCACGCAGACTAATTAATGTCTTCGATTCAACCATATTCACTTGGTTTCTTTGATGTACCTTAGTCAATCATCCCATTTAATTAGAATTTCAATGATAACTTTACTTATCTTGTGGCGAGATGTAAATTAAAATAACAAGATTTTAATTCTCTTTCATATGGGGTTGTGACATTTTTCCAAAGAGAAAGTTTCCACACAAACATGATATTATTGTACATTTTTAAGGTGGGGAGGAGGGGCTGTCTGCAAATCTATTTTCAACTTGTTCAAAAATAGTATTGGTGTGAAATGAGCAAGGGTGTAAATACACTAGAATTTCCTATAGTATTGTGTGATCAAGTCTTTCCCATGAAAATGACTTTCTTGATTTGCTCAAATAATTGGACAAAGACACAGAGCTTGTTGTCCCCAAAGGCAGTGTCTGTTTTCAGGGGGGAAGGGGATCTTCAGAAAAGCAAGGCTTTGATTCATTAAGCATTTTAACTCTTTCTTCCTTTTGCTCTCCATCCACGCTAGTTTTCATTGTGGTACAGTCTGCATTAGTTTCTTTGGACTTCTCAAAGAGACCACAAGGAAGCCAGGCGCTGGTGGCTCACACCTGTGATCCTAGCTGCTCAGGAGGCTGAGATCTGAAGCCAGAATGGGCAGGAAAGTCCTCGAGGCTCTTATCACCAACTAACCACCAAAAAAAAAAAAAAAAAAAAACCCAAAAAACTCTAAGTGGAACTGTGGCTCAAATGGTAGAGCCCTAGCCCTGAGCAAAAAAGCTCAGGGACAGTACCCAGGCTCTGAGTTCAAGCCCTAGGACTGGCACAGGAAAAAAGAAAAGTCAAAGGAAACAACATGACAAAACTAGAGACTAAGCTTGAGCATATAGCATTTCAAGCCTTCCATGACCCAGCTTATATAACTCTGCCAAACTCTGTTTCTGTATTCTACGACATCCACATATCCAAGGTAAATATCCAGACATAAACACTACCTAAACTTAGTGCATCCCTTTCATAACTTACTAATAACATGTATCTCATGAATATATTTTTGAGAGTTGCTTTAAGTTTAGAGACATTGGCAGAAAATCAGACATGGTTGGAAATATTTGGCATGTTTGTATCTAAAACATCAATGGTTCTTCGTGTGGGAAGCTCTTGCCTATAATCCTCAACTACTTTGAAGGTTGATAACTGAAGATCATAATTTGAAGCCAGCCCAGGCAGACAAATCTATGAGACTTTTAATTTCCAATTAATCAGCTAAAAGCCAGAAAAGGAGGTATGGCTCAAGTGGTAGAGTGTAAACCTTGACTGAAAAAGCCAAGTGAGAGCACAAGACTCTGAATTCAAGCCCCAGGACCAAGACTACTACTTCTACTATCACTACTACTACTACTGATGTACCAATAGTGATTGCCAGCATCAAAAATATTCTTTTCTGGTTCTGGGCTTGAACTCAGGACCTGTGTCCCTGAGCTTTTTCAGCTCGAGGCTAGTGTTCTACCACTTGAGCCACAGCTCCATTTCTGGCTTTTTTGGAGATTAGTTGGAAATAAGAGTCTTATGGACTTGGATTTGAACCAGAAGGCTCAGATCTCAGCCTCCTGAGTAGATAGATTTACATGTGTGAGCCACTGGTGCCCAGCATAAACAAATTTTTAAAAATAATCTTTTTTTTTTTAACAGTACTGGGGTTTGAACTCAAAGCTTTGTGCTTGCTAGGCTAGCCCTCTATCACTTGAACCATACCTTCAGTGTAGCTTTTGCTGGTTATTTGGGGGTTTAGCAAACCATGATTCTCCAGATCTCACCCTCCTGACATAAATGCATTGCTTTTTTTTTTGGTCAGTTGTGGAGCTGGAACTCTGGGCCTGAGCGCTGTCCCTCAGCTCTTCAGCTCCAGGCGAGTGCTCTACTGCTCTACAGCACCACTTCTGGTGTTTTAGTGGTTTATTGGAGATAAGAGTGTCACGGACTTTCCTTCTCGGGCCGTCTTTGAACCTTGATCTTCAGATCTCAGCCTCCTGAGTAGCTAGGATTACAGGCGTAAGCCACCGGTGCCTGGCTACGCATTGTTTTTTAGCAAGTACAAAGAGAAAATCTTATACACTATATATTAAATACAGGTTTTTGAGTAAGAGAATAGCTTTTCTTGAAATGTTTTTTTTGGAAATGAAGTTATTAGCTGCCTTGTTTCTTGGAATACCATTGGGAATTTCTCACAATTTTCTATCTTTGATCTTTCAACTTTTCTTCTTCTCTACTCTTAATAACAATGTCTAGGGAAAAAACAAACAGAAGTTACAGAGACCAACAGAAATACTACATTAGCAAGACATGAAACCACTACACTAATGCCATTTGGAAGTCAACCTTCAGGGAATTCCATACAGTTGTTCTCTGACAATAGAATTTAGTTCATTTGCTACTTAAGACATGATTATTTAAATTGAAATTAATTGGTTTCCTTATTCCCCTTTAGGGCTTTAGGCTCAGAAACATTTCTATTAGAAAAATCTAATTTGTTCTCAAAATTCCTATTTCTAAAATTTAGAAAGTTAAAATGATCTGATAGTTTTTAACTCTTTGTAGAAAATATAATGTCTAAATCCCAGCTTAGCCTGGGATTAAAGATACCACAAAGATCAGGACATAGCTTCATATTACAGCATTTGTCTAGCAAACATGAGGCCCAGAGTTCAAACCCCAGTACCATAAACAAATAAAAATAAAGCCAGGGGCTAGAGGCTCACACCTATAATCCTACTTATTCAGGAGGTTGAGATCTGAGAATCCTGGTTTGAAGCCAGCCCAGGCAGGGAAATCTAAGAGACTCTTTATCTCTAATTAAGTGGTAAAAGGCTGGAAGTGGAGCTGTGGCTTAAGTGGTAGAGCTTTAGCTTTGTGCAAAAAGCCAGCCCCTGAGTTCAAGCCCTAGGACTGGTACCAAAAGTAAACTAGTATGGTGATGTACACCTATAATCTAAGCAGTTATAAGACTGAGGCAAGGGGATTAAAAGTTTCAGGCTTGTCTGGGCCACAAAGGGAGACCCTAATCTCAAAAAGGAATGCCCAGAGAAGGAGAGAATGTGATGTGCAGTGTTTTTCATCTTTACCAGGGTCTCAGAGGTCAAGACACACCTGGGCCTTTCCTGGTACCTTAAGGTTCCCAATATAAATTCTAAAATAACTTGCCAAAGCAAGACCATCAAAATCATAATATATTTTAAATGTTTACATTGAGCTAATTACTGCTTTTATTATGTTTTTAATACTGGGGCTTGAATTCAGGTCTGGATGCTGTCCTTTAGCTTTTTCACTCAAGGCTAGTACTCTACCACTTGAGTCATAACTCCACTTCTGGGTTTTGTTTGTGTGTGTGTGTGTGTGTGTGTGTGTGTGTGTGTGTGTGTGTGGTTAATTAGCAGTGCAAGTCTCAAAGACTTCCTGCCCAGGCTGGCTTCGAACTGTGATTCTCAGATCTCAGGCCTCCTGAGTAGCTTTTTTGGTTATGGGGCTTGAACTCTGGGCTTGGGTGCTGTCCCTCAGCTCTTCGGCTCAAGACGAGTGCTCTACCACTTGAGCCACAGCACCACTTCTGGTTTTCTGGCGGTTAATTGGAGATAAGAGTCTCACGGACTTTCCTGCCCGGGCTAGCTTTGAACCTCGATCCTCAGATCTCAGCCTCCTGAGTAGCTAGGATTACAGGCATGAGTCACCAGTGCCTGGCTTAATTTTTGCTTTTAATTCATAAAATTCAATGCAGCCAATGAGAGGAAATTAGCTGGGATACAAGATCGTGTTTCCCAGCCAGCCTGGGCAGGAAAATCTGTGAACTTTTATTTCTAACTAAGCACCAAAAAGTCAGAAGTAGAGCTGTGGCTCAAGTCGCAGAGCACTAGCCCTGAGCACCCAGGCTCTGAGTTCAAACCCTAGGACTGGGACATAAGAAAAGCAAGCAAGAAAAAGGTCTGAAAGGTAATTTAAGTGTCATTTAGGAACTAAACCTAGGTCTTGCCCCAGAGCCAGCTGAATCTCTTGAGGCTAAATGCCTTGCAGCATCCCTTGAAAGTAAAGTTGGCTTTGGGTTTGAGGGCCTGGCTTTGGGGTTGGGGGCCAGGCTTTGGGGTTGTTGGGGGCCAGGCTTTGGGGTTGGGGGCCTGGCTTTGGGGTTGGGGGCCTGGTTTTGGGGTTGGGGGCCTGGCTTTGGGGTTGGGGGCCTGGCTTTGGGATTGGGGGCCTGGCTTTGGGGTTGGGGGCCTGGCTTTGGGGTTGGGGGCGTGGCTTGGGGTTGGGGGCCTGGCTTTGGGGTTGGGGGCCTGGCTTGGGGTTGGGGGGTCTGGCTTTGGGGTTGGGGGCCAGGCTTTGGGGTTGGGGGCCTGGCTTTGGGGTTGGGGGCCTGGCTTGGGGTTGGCGGGTCTGGCTTTGGGGTTGGGGGCCTGGCTTGGGGTTGGGGGCCTGGCTTGGGGTTGGGGGGCCTGGCTTTGGGGTTGGGGGCCAGGCTTTGGGTTGGGGGCCTGGCTTGGGGTTGGGGGGCCTGGCTTTGGGGTTGGGGGCCAGGCTTTGGGGTTGGGGGCCTGGCTTTGGGGTTGGGGGCCAGGCTTTGGGGTTGGGGGCCTGGCTTTGGGGTTGGGGGCCAGGCTTTGGGGTTGGGGGCCAGGCTTTGGGGTTGGAGGCCTGGCTCAGGTGACAGGTCACCCGCCAATGAGCGGTCTCAGTCAAAAACACAAATACAAAGTGGACTTGGGCCCGCCTCTGACCTTTCTGGCTCCAGTGTCATTTGCGTTTGTTTCTCCAGAGATTCCCGGGTAATTTTCTCCGCAGGTGTAATTTTCTCTGATAGGTGTTGCTTGTGTATAGCCCCGCCCCCGGAGGCTGCCGTACAACAGGATCCCCGCTGATGGACGGGTGGTGCATTGGATTCCGTACAACATGGCGGCGCTCTCAGCAACACGAACGTGCCTCTGACGCAACATCCGGTCATGCGCATTGACATTTGCCCTTTGAACTCGCTTGCGCCTTCCTTTCTCTCTTCCGGGGACGGTGTCTAGAGGTATGGTAGCCAGTTTCTTCTTGTCTGTATTCCCTGTGCAATCGGTCGCCATCCGAGCCGTGGCGCGCACCGCGAGTGCTTGGAAACATTTCCTTGAGCTGGCGGGGCTCCCTTGGTGTCAGAACTCTCCACTTTGAGCTTCGGGAGCCCCTCCATCCCTGGCGGAGCCCCTTCGGGAGCGGCGGAAAGCCGAATGTCACATCCGGGGCTTTGCGGGGTCGTGTCTGGACTCCGGGAGCGGGCCGGCGGCCGGACTGGGGCGGGGGGGGCTCCTGGCCCGTTCAGGTCGGGCCTGCGAGGCCGCCGTGCCGTGCCTGGACCTGTCCCGGGCCGCGCGAGGCCCGGGGACCGGCGCTGGCAGTGGCTCCTCTCCCTGCTGGCTTCTGTTTTCGATGGCAGTACCGAGCCGGAGGAAAATGACGCCGCTGGGGTGTTGGAACGCCGTGGTGACGTCTAGGGCGCTTTGCACGGGCCTTCGGGTCGCCTCGGGTTTAGTGTGACGTGAGGAACAAGTGCAAGCGGCTTCCTCTATGCGTTTTCCCCCCTTGTGTGTGTTCCGGACCTGGGGCTTGCATCAGGGCCTGGGTGCTGCCCCAGACCTTTTTTAGCCCAAGGTTGGTGGTACACCCCTTGAGCCACAGCTCCACTTCCGGCTTTTTGCTGATTGATGGGAGGTGAGGGTTTCTTAGGCTCATCTACCTCGACAGGCTTCCCACGTTATCACCAGATCTCAGCCTCCCGAGTAGCTTAAATTTACAGGCGTGAACCACCGGTTTCCTCTAAATTCCTATCATGAAGCGAGCACAAAGTTTGGAAGAAGGGTCAGCCTGGCAGTGCTTGGTTATCTTGTGTCCTTTGGATGCTTCCCTTAAAACTCAAGTCATAAGTCTGGCGGCAGTGGCCTTGCTCCTGTAATCCTAGCTACTCTGGAAGATGCGATCTGAGGATCACGGTTCAAAGCCAGCCAGGGCAGGAAAGTCTTTTTTTTTTTTGTGCTAGTCTTGAGGTTTGGGTGCTGTCCCTGAGCTGCTCAAGGCTAGCATTCCACCAATTAAGTCACAGCTCCACTTCCTGCTTTGGGATTATTTGGAGCCCAGAGTTTCATGGACTTTCTTGCAATCTTCAAGGCCGAGTGTGAGCCACTAGTGCTTGGTTGTATAGGGTTTTTTTTTTGTTTGTTTGTTTTATTGTTTGTTTTTTTTGGGGGGGGGGGTCTGGTTGTGGGGCCTGAACTCTGGGCCTGGGCGCTGTCCCTCAGCTCTTCAGCTCAAGGCTAGTGCTCTACCACTTGAGCCACAGCACCACTTCCAGCTTTTTCTTTTTGCTTATGTGGTGCTGAGGAATCGAACCCAGGGCCTCATGCATTGCAAAGCAAGCGCTCTACCACTGAGCCACCTTCGGGGGGGGGGGGGGGGGGGGGGGGGGGGGGTCCGGTAGTGGGGCCTGAACTCTGGGCCTGGGCGCTGTCCCTCAGCTCTTCAGCTCAAGGCTAGCGCTCTACCTCTTGAGCCACAGCGCCACTTCCGGCTTTTTTCTTATGTGGTGCTGAGGAATGGAACCCAGGGCCTCGAGCATGCAAGGCAAGTGCTCTACCACTGAGCCACCTTCCCAGCCCCCCTCCCACCCCCCCCCCCCCACCCCCCATAGTGTTTTTTATAGCTTGCTTGTGCTTTCTGGCCACCACTTGAAACAATGAGCATGATACCTAAATAATAACCGAGTCATGTTTGATTGTCTCCAGTAGAACTAACATTGCCTCCTAGAAGTCACCTCTAACTACAAGTAATTTTTATATATGGGAATAAATAGCGTGTTATACACATGTGCATATATGTATAAATTATGTGATGATGCTTTGAGATGTGTATTAGATTTTTAATGGGAAAACGATCATATTTTTACTTAGGCCATCAAAATGGTCCAGCGATTGACATACCGCCGTAGGCTTTCCTACAACACAGCCTCTAACAAAACCAGGCTGTAAGTATTTCCAAAATTCGAATACATCCTGTCATTTATTCTTTGAGATGCTGAGCTGTTGCCTATTCTCTCTTTCTAGGTCCCGAACCCCTGGCAATAGAATTGTTTACCTTTACACCAAAAAGGTCGGAAAAGCACCAAAATCTGCATGTGGTGTATGTCCAGGCCGGCTCCGGGGGGTAAGTGGTCCTCTTGTTGTGGACAACATTAACAAGTCAGGGATTGAACTTCTGGATGGAGGGGAACATTCAAGATCCCCATTTTCCAAGAACACAGACCTTTAAAAACTGAGAGAAGTACAGTGACATGCTCTTCAGATGAGTCGATACAACATTGTATCATTTAAAACCCAGGGAAATTTCTTTGTGTAATCTTAGTTTTCTTTATACAGGTTCGTGCTGTGAGACCTAAAGTCCTCATGCGATTGTCTAAAACAAAAAAACATGTCAGCAGAGCCTATGGTGGTTCCATGTGTGCCAAATGTGTCCGGGACAGGTAAGCAAAATCAAGATGGTTTTCTTTTTTTTTTTCTTTTTGGTCGGTCGTGGGGCTTGAACTCTGGGCCTGGGCGCTGTCCCTCAGCTCTTCAGCTCAAGGCGAGCGCTCTACCACTTGAGCTACAGCACCACTTCCGGTTTTCTGGTGGTTTTTATTGGAGATAGGAGTCTCACGGTCTTTCCTGCCCGGGCTGGCTTTGAACCGTGATCCTCAGATCTCAGCCTCCTGAGTAGCTAGGATTACAGGCGTGAGCCACCAGCTCCCAGCTTCAAGATGGTTTTCTTAAATAAACACAGACTTGTCTATGGTTAACGGTGTATACTCTTCCTTACTGGAAGACTGGTAGGAAAAAATAAGTTGCATGCTTTACCCTCCCTGGTGATTGGTGATATATAAAACAGTTAGTTATATCAGATTAAATAAAGTATAATCCATAAGCTAGATGTAGAAATGTAAGACATTTGTAGAGGAGGGTAGGTAAGAAAACCTAGTGGTTGTTCATAGGCAGATGGAGGATGGAAGGTCTTTAAAATGTATAGGGAAATAGCAGCATGTACTTACAGTGTAGCTGCTGCAGAGCTTGGTAGGAGGTCATCAACAACAGAGGTTGAAAGGCCTTAAAGGGCGAGGGAATTAGCTTGATTCTTTAAGATGTGGGGAATTAAGTCTTTTGGGGGCAGAGCCAGAGAACTTTTGCCTTTGGTGTGTTAGAAACAAACAGCAGAACGAATGAAGTGACTCTTTAAACTGAGATGGGTGTTCACATGTAGTTTCTAAAGGATAGTGAACTTGTTACTGCTTTGAGAACCGAAGTCTAGGGAAAGAGTTCAGAAAGAAGACAGTCTTTTGGATATTGAAAGATAGGAGTGATGGTAGAGTTGTGAAGATAAATGTGCCAAGTACCTGTGTGGTAGTATCAAGTCCCTACTAAGTCTGTGGTAGCAGTATCAATTTCCTCTGGGAAGAGTTTTTATTGTTTTGCCAAGAATCCAGGATGTACTGCTCAAGTTCACATGGCTAACTACTAGTTATGGCTTAATCCATTTTTAACTCTAGCCTTATATTAAATTGCCTCCAAAAAATGAACTTCCAGGTGATTGGTCTTCATAAGTGAAGTGATAGACTTGGTAGGGAAGCTTAAGTTCTATTTCACTCAGTTCTATAGAAGTGCAAAGTCAAATCTGGACACCAAACCTTTGCATGATAGTATGAGGGGGTAGCAAGACATTGTATTAATAATGCAAACACAAGATAAATATGATTTCACTTGAGAAACAGGAAAACAAGTAGAGAGGAAGAGTAGTAATGAGTTGTAAGCTAGAGGAACTTGGCTTTTTTCATTGTTGGTCTCTTAAGGTATACAGAACCTAATCTTGTTTTAGGATTGGGACATGTGTATTAAGACAGTTACAAGCCCTGGCTCCTTTACCCCTTAATTTTAGTTAGCAGCACAAAGCTGGTTTTTACTGAAAAGTTTTTTTTGGGGGGGGTTCCGGTCGTGGGGCCTCAACTCTGGGCCTAGGTGCTGTCCTTCAGCTCAAGGCTAGCGCTCTACCACTTGAGCCACAGCGCCACTTCCGGCTTTTTTCTTTTTGCTTATGTGGTGCTGAGGAATCGAACCCAGGGCCTCAGGCATGCAAGGCAAGTGCTCTACCACTGAGCCACCTTCCCAGCCCCCTGAAAAGTTTTTAATGTGATAAAGACATTTTGTGAATTACCCACCACTGTGCTGCTGGGTCATAATGTAGCATGGGTTATGTTAAACATAGAGCTCTTAGCAGTGCCAATGTGGTTCCTGTGGGTGTGAGTTGAGCACTGACACTACTTGTGTGTAGTTCCAGTACAGAGTGAGGGCTGGGCTAGGAGGTTTGGCACTTCAGTTCAACTTTCATTTCCTTTCTGGGTTCCTATAATGCTTTGTTCATTCCTTTTTATGGTACTTGTCATTGTTAAATTGAACAAACCAAGTTTGATTTTTAGAAACTACTCATTGTGTATTTTCCTTTCTAGGATCAAGCGTGCTTTCCTTATTGAGGAGCAGAAAATCGTCGTGAAAGTGCTGAAGGCACAAGCACAGAGTCAGAAAGCTAAATAAAAACAGGAAGCTGTGTGGGCCTAGGATGCCAGAGGTCTCTAAACTGCTAGCAAAGAAGGAACCTTTTTGATAAATAAAAAGGCTTTGAGTAATAAAATATCAGAGTATTGTTTTGTATAATGTCTCTTGTATAATTAGACAAAAGATGTCTAATAAGTTTTAGTTAACCACTTTCCAAAAGAAAACTAGGTGAAGGTCTGGTTACTAGAATTCTTTTGTGTATGCAAACATTCCTTAGCACTTTGCCATTGGAACTCCTTTATCAGCAAGTGGAAAACCTTGGTCTTCCACTTGTTTGCCCATTTGGCCTCCAGAAGACCTTATTAACTCCCATCACTAGGATTATAGGAAAGCCTACCACACCTAGCCGCTGTAAAAGTTCTTAATCACCTGGCTCATTCTTTCTAATGCTTAGAGAACTAGCTTTGGTTTGAATGCTCTGTATATAAAAGCCTATTTTTTATTTTTTTTGGGGGGGAGAGTGGGATTATCTGTTATAACATGTTAACACTATTTCAATCAGTGCCACACTGCCTACATTCCTTCAGTTTTTTTAATTGTGAAAATACTGTACAGAGGGGTTTCAATTACGTGGGCAAGATAATGAGTACCTTTCTTATCAAGCATTGTAGCCTCCATTCCTTCCGTTTCTGTCAGACCAAGTTCCTCTATCTTGGTAAAATGGCAGCCCATTTGTCTAGGTCAGGTACTGTAGCAGCTGGCTTTACTTAGGGAACTTGGTAGTTTACCATTTCCCCTGAGGCTGAGGTCTGAGGATCCAGTTCAAAAGCTGGTCCTTAAGATTTTCCTATTTCCAGTTGATCACCAAAAATGTGGGAAGTGGAGGTGTGGTAGAACTTTAGCCTTGAGCAAAAAAGCTCAGGAGCAGGCCCCCAGGCCCTTCCACAAAATAGTTTCTTCTATCAATGAGGGATTAACTAGTAATTGGCATGATCACGATGTGGCACTGTTATTTCTAGAATACATTTAGGGTAAAAGGCTAAAATGTTGCCACTTGTCTTTTGCCAGCTAACCTGTTCTAGGTCATCTTTTTCTGGAGGTAAGATGGATGATATGTAGCCCTGGCTGGTGTGAGCTCTTGAGTGCTGGGTAACAGGCCTAAGTACCATGCCCAGCTAAGTAAGTAGAAATGCCAAAGCATATTACAGAAGATGAGTGGGGGATGAATCACAGAACTGTTAAGCGACTTAAATTGGCATTCAAATTTTGATTTTTTTGAAGGGGATGGGTCTGGTCATGGGGGCCTGAACTCTGGGCCTGGGCGCTGTCCCTCAGCTCTTCAGCTCAAGGCTAGTGCTCTACCACTTGAGCCACAGCACCACTTCCAGCTTTTTTCTTTTTGTTTATGTGGTGCTGAGGAATCAAACCCAGGGCCTCATGCATGCAAGGCAAGTGCTCTACCACTGAGCCACCTTCCCAGCCCAAATTTTGAGATTTTTATGGTCATGGTCAGTCATGGGGCTTGAACTAGGCTTGGGTGCTGTCCCTGAGCTCTTCACTCAGGCAAGTGCTCTACCACTTGAGCCACAGTGCCACTTTTGGTTTTCTGGTAGTTAATTTGGAGATAACAACAGTTTGATGGAGTTTCCTGCTCAGGCTGGCTTTAAACCATGATCCTCAGATCTCAGCCTCCTGAGTAGCTAGGATTACAGGTAAGTTTGAGCCACCAGTGCCCAGTTTGAGAATTTTCTTAACTGCAATTCACACACACACACACACACACACACACACACACACACATACTTACCCCTTCCCTCATTTTTCTTCTACTCCTCCCCGCTCCTCCCCCCCCCCCCCCCACGCCCTTAACTGCAATTCTTGGTAGTGATAGTTCTTAAAGCATAATTACATGAACTTATATGTTGTTTGGCAGTTTGGCTTTCTGTCACTTGGCTAATGTAAACTAGTGCAGTTGACTATATGCTGATGGTGTAATGAATTCTTTGGGATGTATAATGAAAGCGGTCATGATTTATTGGTGAACCTCCATACTGATGTCCGTAGTGGCTGTCCAATTTATTTCCCTCCAGTAGTGTACAAAGATCATAGTGTTATTACCCATCCATCCCTCATTCTTGCCAACATTGGCTTTTGGGTTTCTTTTCACCCGTCTCCCCTCCCTGCCCCCTTTCTTTCCTTTTATTTATTTATTTTTTTGGTCAGTCATGGGCTTGAACTCAGGACCTAAGTATTGTCTTTGAGCTTTTCTGCCCAAGGATAGAGCTCTACCACTTCAAGCCTCAATGCCACTTCCAGTTTGCTGATGGTTAATTGGAGATAAGAGTCTCAGGGACTTTTCTGGCTGACTTTGAATCTTGAGCCTCAGATCTCAGCTTTCTGAGTAGGATTACAGGTGTGAGCCTCCAGTGCCCAGGTCCTTCCATTTTCTTCCTTTTTTTTTTTTTCTTCAGTCGTGGGGCTTGAATTCGGCCTGGACACTATCCCTCAGCTCTTCAGCTCAAGGTGAACACTCTACTGCTTGAGCCACAGCTCCACTTCCAGTTTTCAAGTGGTTTATTGGAGATAAAGAGTCTCATAAGCTGGGAAGGTGGCTCAGTGGTAGGGTGCTTGCCTTGTATGCATGAGGCCCTGGGTTCGATTCCTTAGTACCACATAAGCAGAAAAAGCCAGAAGTGGTGCTGTGGCTCAAGTGGTAGAGCGCTAACCTTGAGCTGAAGAGCTGAGGGACAGCGCCCAGGCCCAGAGTTCAGGCCCCATGACCAACAACAACAAAAGTCTCATGGACTTTCCTGCCCAGGCTGGCTTTGAACCGTGACCCTCAGATCTCAGATTCCTGAGTAGCTAGGATTACAGGCGTGAGCCACCAGTGCCTGGCTCCATTTTCTTTTTTCTTTCCCTCCCTCTTTTTTTTTTTTTCTCTTTTTTCTTCCCCCCATCCCTCCCTCCCTCCGGTTTATTACTCTAGCAGGCCCACAGGAATTCTTACTCCAAATTCTGAGTCAAATTTTTGTTTTTGTTTTATTTAGGTGGCACTGAGCCACTCCCAGCCTGTTGCTTATTCAAGCAGCACTTTTACTCAGGATAGACCTCACTCATTTTCCTGAATCCCTTCAACAGCACCATACTCAGCTGGCTTCAAGCCGTGATACACTATTCCTACCTCACTTTTGCCCTTCTCTTCTTCCTGCATAGCTGAGATTACAGGTATACACTAACATGCCTGGCCCTTGGGTTTTGTTTATTTAATGATTGCTATTCTGACTAGAGTGATGGGATCTTTCCAATGTATCTTTGCAGCATATTTGTTGAGGATCAAGAGGCCATAGCTTTATAGGTTTACTTTTGTAGATTGTATATTTCATTGCCCTATGTGTTTTGTGCCAGTACTGTGCTGGTTGTTTGTTTTTTTTTTTAATTATGGCTTTGAAGTCAGGTGTTGTGATACCTCTAGCATTGCTCTATAGAACTTCAAGGTTTTCTTTTTTCTATTTCTGTTTAGAATGTCATTGGAATTTTGATGGGTATTACACTGAATCTGAATTGCTTTTGGTGATAGGTTATTTTGACAATATTAATTCTGCCAATCCCATAAACATGGGAGGTCTTCTATCTTTTAGTGGCTTAGGATATACTTATTTCAATGCTTTATAGTGTTCATGTTTGGTTGACTTTATTCCTAGTGTTATTGTTGGCTTTTGATTTTTTTAGGCTACCATGAAAGTGATTGTTTTTCTAACTATTTCAGTGAGTTCATTAGTTCACTATTGGCACCCAATTTTTGTTTGTATCCTGCTACTTTTCTGGATGTGTTGATCACATCTAATAATAATCTGGTAGAGTGTTTTGGACATAAGGACATATCTACAAACAAGGATAGTTTGACTTTTTTTCCATTTTATTTCTCTTATTCATCTGACTAAAATTTTAAGTACTATATTGAAAAGGAGTAGTAAGAGTGGTCACCTTGTCTTGTTATTTTAGAGGGAACGCTTTAGGTTTTGCGCCATTAAGTATAATATTAGCTATCAACTGGTCTTGGACAGTCTTTATTATGTTGAGGTATGATGGATATGGCACTTTTAAATAATGCGATCAAAACAGTCCCTTAAAACTTGACATCAATTAATTGGCCCAATGACTAGGTTTTTTAAAGAATTGAACTGTAATTGTCGAGGCTCTTCCCTCTGCACTACTTCACGTTTGGACAACTGGTTGAGCCCAGGCTCTTGATTACAGGGGCTGACTGTCAAGTTTCAGTCAAAGACGAAAGTAAATTAACTTTTTGAAAGTTGAGAAAGCTAAGGCATTAAAGTAGCATACTTTCTCAAAGAATTCTTCATATGTTAAGTGATTTAACCTCTTCTAAATTAAAAGTATGTTTACTTTGCTTAGAAAACATCTTTGTAGACAATTTGGAAAGCATGGACAAGTAGAATGAAAAAAATTCTCGTTTAATTTCACTACTCAGATAATTTTAATAGTTGAATTTTTTCCCTCCCATTTCATTTTCACAACATAAGCAAGATATTATAAGTCCAAATTGAAAGCATACTGAATATATAAATTTTCAACCCTTTTCCCCCCACATAACCCCAGAGATTGTATTTCTTTTGAAAAATTATTTTCGTGGTTGTGTGTGCCATCAAATCCATGTGCCCTGATTCAAATACTCCCTTTCATTTGAACATTTGAGCTAGCTTTAATTTTTCTCTATTTTAAGACTCGTAATATTCTTGTATATTGTGTTTATTTATGCTGTTTTTTTTTCCTTCAGATTCATACATTGGTTTTGAAGTACGGTATTAAGAATACCAAACACAGCACCAATTCTGTCCATGCAGCCAAAATGGATGGCCAGGTTTTGATTTTGTGAAAAGCTGCTTTTATTGAATCCAGTTCTGCATGTGACAAAGTAATCTTGACAGGTTCCTGAGAAGACATGCGAATGTTGTCAGTGGTTTCTTTTTAAAGTCTAGAATTTCCCCTTCCATTGAGTGGCTTATAAATTCTATTAGAAGATTGAAGGGGGTCTCTTCCTTCTAAAAGCAGAAGATCTCCATATGTTTAAATCAGCAAATCAAGTTTGCTCAATGCAGTTAAATGCCATATTTTTACTCTTAAGATCAGGAGGG